TTATTTTTATTACTACATAAAGTACTGACATGTATTTTAACTTCCCAGCTGGTATTTGCATCACCAGCCCTTGCTTTTTCTTAAGTCACGCAACTGCTTGCCCTTGTTGAATGGAGGTGTTTTTGTGTTTGTACTTATTTAACCAGCCAAGTGCATCACAAGCAGCAGTTTGTGTGTTTTCTCTAAGAATTATTCATATGGAGATCAGACCGTGAGCTCCAAGGCCCCACAATTCCTCCTCTGCCTGATTTGTGCCTCCTGTCTTTTCTTCCCATCTTTTTGTCCCTTTTCTACCAGTAGTGGTGTTGCAAACTACCCCTGGACTGCAAGATGTAATGCTTGAAAAGGAAATAAATAGCAACACAATGGAATAATAGAAATAAGGGCAGAGCTCAGTTCTTGAACTTGAGGTTGCATTATTGTTACACAATTATTCTCTACCAGTGCCAGCAATGATTAACTGTGGTTCACACTCAAAGATAAATAATATTTCACCAATTGATTTGTATGATTAAGATGACCAACCTCATGTATTATTGTCACTGCATGTTTTTGCCATTCTGTATAGTATGGAAGTAGAGTCTAGTGACCCTTTATAATTTCACCTGAATTTAAATACTACAATACTTTCAGAGACTTTCCAACTCAACTTATCATAATCTAATAGTCACCCCCACTCAATTGATGCCATTGTATCCTTTAATTCTTGCTGCTCACCATTTCTTGAGGCTGTGGGTGTGCAGGTTACAATTTATAATAAAAACATTGCTCTTATCTTGTAGTTTCCTTTGCTAAAAAAAACAAACGGCAGGACGGTAACAGTTCAGCTCTTCCGTTTATTTTCCACTCTGACTCTCGCGCTCGTGGGTGCACGCTCTCTCTCTCTGACAAACAGTGTTGAACCAATAATAATAAAAACAAAAAAAGAATAATCATGAAATAATATACCATCCAAAATAATATTAAGATTACCCAAATAAAATATATATATTCACAAAAATCACAATATTACACCATCAATATCAATTGATGTCTCGCAACTAAATGTATGATTACTGAAGATTTTTGCTTTTACTTCTCAGTCGTAGGCATAATTTGTTTATGTCATTGTGCAGCCCACAATGTATTACCCTGACTCATGACAAACAATAACATGTCAATTAATTGAATCAACAATTAATTTAGATTCTTCATCTTAGTTTACTTTCTGTTTTATGACCATGATACGATTTTTGGAGCAATCAAAAGTATGATACAAAAATGTATTCTTGTTTGCTCCTTACACAGTTGCGAAAGAAGCACACTTTAAGGCACATAGCCTCTTAATAATGCACAGACACGTCAATTTAGAAGGGAAACCACAGACCACAAACACGAGCAATGCACAGCGTTACAAAGACATGGATTCTGTTTGCTCTCATTGAGAGCAGAATATTAGCAATTGACAGTTAGTCAAATTAATTTGTCAGTTTATTGTTCATCTATATTGTGTCATAAGTTTGTTGGTGTGGTCATATGCACGATTCTCTATTTAAAAAAAAAAAATTCCATCTGCACTGAACAATGATGACTCACTCATTGTGGAGCAGGCCATGAGTGGGTTCAGTTTGAGGAAAGATTTTATTTTGACAGACGATAGGAAACGGACCTTACTCTCCCAGGATGTGTCTTCCACAATGTTTATAGTCCCAATAAGCAAATCATGAAGACTAGTAAGACCATAATGACAAATGTGCATGCGTGTGTGTGTGTGCGCATGCACCCGTATCCACACACGCAAAGGATTGCATTGTTAGTCCACCATTACAAATTTTGAAAATTCTGTCAAAAAAGGCGTGAAGACCATAGTAGGAGTGTGATACAAAATGTCTCTTGTGACCAGTGGAGTAATCAAATCCATTAATTTTCCTACCGCTTCCCTCACAGCAGCAGTCAGTTGTGTAATGGGTTTTATTTGTGTCTGCAAAAAGAAGTTATGGACTTGGAATAGGGTTTAGTTTTTATGTTTATTTCTTTACTACAGTATTATTACTAATTACATCATGTGTTCAATTACATGAACCTCATTCTTTACATGTTTGTAAGTTAATACTTAAATCAATTACCCCTGCAATACTCTGGATTGGGAAACACTGATTTAAGTGAGCGAGCTATGTCAGCCCTGCTTGTGGTGTAGTCAAGCCCCGGTGATCCAAGATGGCGCCCTATTCAAATGAATGGCTTGTGCTCAGTAGCGCATTGGACTTCATGGAGACCGGGAGATTAGCTGAACTCACTTATATTTGGGCATCGTCTGGTCCTCCCGGTTCTGCGCAGTGGACGATCTCCCATAATGCTTTGCGCCAAATATGCATGTGTGGCTCTCATGCACGTGCATAGATGGGCTCGGCTGCGCTCTGACCATCAGAGCTCCTGATCTGAGAACGGTACTCAGAACAGGAAGGAAACGAGCAGAGTTTGTGGCTGTAAAGTGTGGATTTAAAGAAAACCAAAGGATTTAAGAAGAAAAAAAGTTCAGGATGACAAGGGACACTAAAATCCCCGCAAAATCTGATCTTTATGAAAGCTGTATTTTCTCTGACAGCTGAAGTCGAGCTGTTTTAGTTTACATTAAGTTCTATGGGACTTTTTTCTGGGTAGCTCATGTGAATTTAGTCTGCAGTACCACGGGCGCCCCCTCTGCCCATGGGTGGGACAACTAGAAGCTAGTAATACCCTATCCAGTTTTTATTATAGATCCATGGGTATAGTATATAGTAGTATTTTAAATGCATTTTATGAAAATTTTATTTGTATGCATGCCTTTTACCTACTGTTACACTTACAACTTGTTTGCACCTTCTAGTTTGACTTACTCTTACCTACATTGACAATAAAAAGGATTCTTGAGCCGGGTCAGGATCAGATCTGTTTGCTGTGAGCAGGACGTAACACACCTCTCACATAGCCAGTGGGGAAAAGTCACATATGCAAAAAGGAAAAATTAAAAGTTCTGCTTGAAACCTGAAGAATAGCTATACACATATAATTTAATGTTTTCACTTTAAGTTGTGGAGGAGAGAGTATCGATGCCATAGATACCTAGAATAAGCACCTGAATATGTATAGCGTTGGTTCAGGATTTTTGTTGGGTTATGTTATAACTTGTTGTATATTTTAAATATACACTATACAGATGTGACAATATTGACCATTTGAACATCATAGCCAACAAAAGACCTGGGCACTCAGGAAAAAACCCCAAGGACACAAGATAGTAGTGGAATTCAGAGAAGGACCACGGACCAGGCCTGACTCACTAAAACACATGTGTGGCAATTTTGACCTATGGAACCCCCGCAGCCCCCCCCGCAGCAGCTGCGTTTGTCTAAGTCCCACACAGGCGCCGCACGGGTGGGGGCCATTGTTTGCTTAGGCTGATATGGAGGACCAAGACCGGGACCAGGGTCCAGACCGGAGACCAGACTGGAGTCCAGTCCCAGACCATGTGACGTCATCGGACATGTTGATAAAACTGGGGGTAGGACAGTCTGGGCAGTCTGAGCAGGGATAGAGACAGAGAACATGGCAGAGCGCCTGCATGTTCTCTGCACATTTTCAGGCCTGTAGGGAAAGTTTAGAATGGCTCAGCATAGGGTTAGTTTTAGGGAATTAATGGCTCCAAGAGTTTTGTATCGATATTTAATTGTAAAGAGAATTAAATGTTCTATTTTTAACTCCTGCATTCTTGGCCTTATTTTCTGTATCAAATTCTGAACACGACAGTCAAATCTTTTTTGACAACAAACTATAGTCACAAAACGATTTATGTCAATGATGGATACAATGTCTTGGCAACCATCAGTAACCATACCTTTTCAAGTAGTCATTTCTATTCTCTCTCTGGAAATGAGAACCAACAGTACTTTGTTTTTGACATTTTAAATTTCCCCTAGTTGGTTGCAATTTGAATACTATTCACTTTCTGAAGTGAAAGTATTTTATGGAAACATGCTGAGGTTGACCTAAAACCAACCGACACATTTTTCCGTGAGAGTGAAAAACCTATTTTCTGCACTACCATCTATTTATAGTGAAGTATGTTTTATCATCATAAATACATGAACATGTTTTTTTTAATCTGGGTAAGTGATCTAGAGATACTATCGCCTCGAGCTTCATGTCTCTCTCTATTGGCAATGGCACATAGATAAATGTGTTAAATTGTTTGTAGGTTAATTATCTCTACTTAATTTACCTATTAAGTAGAACCACACATAACGTAAAAAGCTCCATTGTGGCTGTATTATAATGCACATCAGCCCCTGAGCACACTTGGAGACCAGCTGAAAATGCACTTATACACTACAGTGCAGGTGGACTTTGTGCAGCATAGTCCTTCTCTTTGTATTAAGATAGATTTTGTTTACTTCCTCCGGGGGGTTATGTTTTCACCTGGGTTAGTTAGTTAGATGGTTGCATAGTTGGCAACATAACTCAAAAGTAATGACCGAATTTTGACTGAATTTTCAGTAAATATTTATTGGGATTTTTTTTTTTTTTTTTTTTTATCCTAATCATCATCTGGATCCAGATTTTTTATTTTTTATTTTAAAGAATGGAATGCGCTTCTTGCCGTAACTGTAGTATTTCAGTATTTCTTATCACTAGGTAATCTATTTAGATCCCAAAAGGTCAATGAGAATGGGAATTTTTTTTTTACATTTTACCAAAATAAAGCTCAAGTGTTGCCCATGGAGAACATTGAGATTACTTTTTACACTGTTTAATAATACTTTGTGGACACATTTTTTAATTTAATCCTGCAGTCACTATAAAATCACCTGAGTCATAAAATAACTTCTTAACATCCTTTAATGAAGTTAAACAAAATATTCATCAGTTAGTTTCCATTCTATAATTTCTATTATCAGTTAATTATAAAATGTATTTATTTAAAAAGGGATAGTGTACAGTTAGAACATAAATTATAATTTTCTGCATTTCTTTTGTTTCCTCAGGGTTTCCGTCCGCCATGTTAAGGTAAAGCCTGGCTGCGCGGTGTTGACCATGCTCAAACGCCTGGACAAGATCCGCTTTCGAGGCCCCAGGACGAGGGAAGACTTTCCGGACCTTGGCGATTCGCCACCGACCTCGGACAATGAATGTAGCGACGACATTCAGCTGAAGCCCAGAGCCAAGGACGCAGACGACCTGGTCAGAGACCCTGTGAGTAATATGTTTTTTAGCCTTCTTTTGAAGTGGCTAGTGTTTGGTTGAGTTAGATTTGGTTTTCTTTAGGCAAACGACTTGGTCAAAATTGATAAACAAAAAAAACTTTGTTTTCAATCTACATTAATCTACATTACTTTGACACGTTCCTTTTGTATTAAAACAGAACTAATCATACATAAAAAATAATTTTAAAAATCCATATCGATATTCCATACCTTAAAGTGGTAATCTCCAGTAAAATAAGATGAGCTAGTAAATATACAAAATCAAATAATCTACTGAATAACTTGTTTTTCAAAGAAGTATTGAATAACATCTAAAGATATTTAATTTCTAACTCTTAACATTCACATCAAACCATCAAACATCAAAAATTGGCCAAAAAAAAAACCTCATCGGCTGATCTTCAGCCGAGCAAGTGTCGGTAGGATTACGCACTTTCACCATGGCTACTTCCTGTTTTTGGTCATGTAATTTTCTCCCAGCACTGCAGACACACCATATTTCTCCAAGGTCAGTGTTGGAACATTGATTTTATCCACTATCTAAGTCGAACAGGACCCACACCGCGCAGTAGTTGCAGTCTGTCAGCTGGTTGCTTTGAAAAACACACACTAAGCATTCTCTTTGATGAAGCACTATCTGTACACATCACATCTTGGAGCCTCACATAATCATTTGTTGTTTATGTACGTAAGCTCGGATGTTTGTACAGTAAGCTTGAATGAGTCTCTGACGGCTATGCAACAAGTAATTTGCAAGATACAATATTTTCATCAGAGTACACGGCACAGCAATGGTTATCAGGAGAATGACATGGGCACAACTGGATAGATATTCAACACAAGGAAGAAAATTAAAACAAAAAGTTGATATGTTTCATGACAAAAGCCAGGGATTGTCATACCTCAAGGTGAAAGTGTGGAAATTGAAGTAGTCACTGCTGGACCAGTGGCTCAGTTGGTAGAGCATTGGCCTTTGAGCCTGAAGGTTGTGGGTTCGAGCCCACCATAAGACCTACTTCGCAACTCCCACTGATGACTGCTGTCGTTGTGTCCTTGGGCAAGACACTTAACCCCACTTTGCCTGAAGCCCCCACTGAAAGATCTCAGCTCCTGTGGACTCACCACCTGCAGGAGGATCAGTGAGGGGCTGGTGCTTAGTGTACTGGGTGCAGCTCTGACTGCCACCCCCCTGACCCAGAAATGGATTAAGGGGAAGAAAATGGATGGATGGATGGATGGACTGCTGGACCACAAAACATAATCTGCTTTTGAATCTCCCACACTGACACAGTCTTATCAAAATTGCAGTACTTCTTGCTGATGTCACCACTCACATTAAAAAATATTTCCACCTCTTTTTCTGTCAAGAGCAAACTAATAATCGAACCCCAAACCTAGTCTATGTTCTCATTCAATTAAAAAAATAAAAATAAAATTATTCTTTTTATTTATTGATGTAATTTCTTTTTTTGCATCTTGCATATCTGTTATTGTGCTCACTGGGAATATGTCCTCCCCACCATGGTTGAGTCATATAGACCCTAAAATAGACCCTGACTTTTATCCCTGCTGGAACGTGCACATGCACATTCTCTTTGACTCGCTCGCACGCACGCACCTGCCTACCACCGTCCTATACTGACTTTACCCTTCTCAATGGAGACAAGCACATGTGTGTCTATTAGGGCTGTCAAAATTATTGTGTTAATAAATCGCGTTAAATGAACGCCTTTGACGCATGTGCAGAATGCGGCTGTGAGCAACAACACGACGAATGGCGCCGCCGTGACACGGTTGTATCCAAAACCATACGCGCGCACAGAACTATTCTCTGCTTGTTGTGTGCGTGTCTTTGCATAACCTGTGCATGCAATAAATACAGCGCTGAAGCTGGACTATGAAGCCTCAGGAAGTGTCCGTATCTCCTCTTCCTCCCGAAGCGCAACAACTTGCTAATTTAAAGCTGGGGTACCTTATTTTTCCCTTGCACAACCAGTTCATGTTGGTTGTTCCTTAATGGGTTCCTTATTTTTTTGTTGATGTAAAACAGTATGCCCAAACACTGAATAAGAATTTACTGTACACAAAAGTATCTGATATTAGGTGCAAAAAAAATATAAATATTGTATTTATCACTTAAAGAAATGCCTTTTTTTTAAACTTATTTTAACCTGGCATTGCAATCTATTTCACATTACACAATGTCATGTGGAATAAAATAATGTGAGACGCTACAAATGTAGTTAGACAGGCCTTGACATTAAACTTTGTTAGCAACAGGCTCCTATCACTGCGCTGCCGAACGGAACGTTTCAAGAGATTTGATCCTTCGGCTGTCAGACTGTACAACAAACCTGGATGAGTCTTCTGCTGCTGGACACCTGAATTTCTCTGAATTTGTGAACAAATCAAACAGCACACACCGAGGCCTCTTTATTTCTATTTTGAAAACTTAAAGAGCGTAGATTTTTTATATTTATCCACACAGATAGTGTGGAAAAATACAGTTTGTGCTGCTTCCATCTCTGTGTGGAGTGAGAGAAAAATGGCTCTGCTCCCTCTTTACCACAACGGTCCGATACAGCGACTGCATCACTGCGCAGGCTACACCGATCCACCTGTCGAGCTCACGCTCCATCCTGCCCTCACTCATGAACAAGACCCTTGAACTCTTGGTACTTGAACTCCCCCTACTTGAACTTGAACTTGAGGAAGGACCTCTCCACCCGCCTGGAGAGGGCAAGGCAACTTTTTCCGGTCTAGCACCATGGCCTCGGATTTGGAGGTGCTGATTTTCATCCCAGCTGCTTCACACTCGGCTGCAAACCGTCCCAGTACATGTTGCAGGTTCTGGTTCATTGGAGCCAACAGGACAACATTGTCCGCAAACAGCAGAGATGAAACCTTGTGGTCCCCGAACCGGACCCCTTCTGGCCCCTGGCTGCGCCTAGAATTTCTGTCCTTAACCCTATGCCCGCGTGCATCGGCGCTGATGCACGCGGGCATAGGGTTAAGCACATGTTTTACAAATGATCAATTTACTCGCGAACGGTAAAACGTAGCAACTTACTTTTTCTTCCTCTGTGAAGTACGTATTCAGGGCTTTCCGAAACTAGTTTTGATTTGTCTGTGCGATGCACGGAGGATAAACTACGTTTGTCTGAAAGTCCGTGTCCAAAGCGTGACCCGTGAGGTACAAACAGCTGTGAGATACAAACACACGGGGACTGCCAAAGATCGTCTCTCACTCCTCTGCGTTTCCTTGTTCTCCCACAGTTGAAACTACAGCTGCGATTGCAATAACCGGCTGAAGAGTGCGCATTATTGATAAAGACGATAATAAATACAGTAAAATGACATTATGTGTATATGATGTATATAAATATATGTATTATATAAATAATTGATGTTTTTTTTTTTTTTTTTTTGCCTCAGTTTTTTATGTTTTACGTTTTTTACAGCTGTACTACAGAAGCAACCCCAGCATTATAGACAAACTGCTTCAGGAAGGGCATCAGGAGTACAGAGTTTTTTGCTTTTATAGTGGAATTTTGTAAAAAGTATAATAGTTAGAGATTCAATTTTTTTCCCCCTTATCCCCAAGACCATAAATAACATTTCTATGCAGTGTAAAAAGTTGTTTATAGCATTTCATTGTGTTTTTTCAATACATTTTTGTTAAATTAATTTTCCGTTTGATTTTTTTCTTTGTCTTTATGATTCCATCATTTTTATATAATTCATATGACAGCTTTACAATATGAATATTCTAAAACCCCAGGTTGTACTGAAAAAAACAAAGTATACTGCTTGACTTTGCATCAAAAGATGACTGTTTTATGAACAATTATACACAAAGAAAACCAGGCGAGGAAAGTTCCCCAAAATGACCCATGTGGATAGAGGGTTAAAGATAGTGAACAGAACCGGTGACAAAGTACAGCCTTGGCGGAGGCCAACATACACCGGAAACAGGTCTGACCCATTGCCAGAAATGTGAACGCAGCTCTTGCTCCGGTCATACAGGGACCGGGCAGCCCTCAGCAGAGGACTCCGGACCCCGTACTCCCGGAGAACCCCCCCAAAGGACACCCCGGGGAACACGGTTGAACGCCTTCTCCAAATCCACAAAGCACATGTGGACAGGTTGGGCGAACTCCCATGAACCCTCGAGTATCCGAGGGACAGTATAGAGCTGGTCCAGTGCTCCACGGCCGGGACGAAAACCATACTGCTCCTCCTGAATCCGAGATTCGACCATCGGTTGTAGTCTCCTCTCTAGTACCTTGGAGTAAACCTTACCGGGGAGGTTGAGGAGTGTGATCCCACGATCATTGGAACACACCCTCCGGTCCCCCTTCTTGTAGAGAGGGACCACCACCCGGGTCTGCCACTCCATTGGCAACGCTCCCGATCGCCATGTGATGCTGCAGAGACGTGTCAGCCAAGACAGTCCTACAACATCCAGAGACTTTAGATAGTCAGGACGGATCTCATCCACTCCCGGCGCCTTGCCACCAAGGAGGCTACAAACCACCTTGGTGACCTCTGACAGGGAGATGGAAGTATCCCAACATCCTCTGCTTCCGACCTGCACCAGAGACCTTGCGACCACAGCTACGCACTGCCACATCGGCGATAAAGGTAGAGAACATGGTTCACTCAGACTTGATATCCCGCTCCTCCGGCGGGACCTGGGAGAAGCTCTCCCAGAGGTGTGAGTTGAAAGTCCGCATGACAGGGGGCTCAGCGAGACGTTCCCAGCAGAACCTCACTACAGACTTAGGTCTGCCAGGTCTGACTGGCTTCCTCCCCTGCCAGTGGATCCAACTCACGACCAGGTGGTGATTGGTCATGGATCTAGGCAAGGCATGGCAAGTAGAGGTGCACCGATCAGGATTTTTTTGGCTGATCACCGATCATTAAAATTTTGATCGGCCGATACCGATCATTGCCGATCCAATCAAATATTGAAAATATTAGTGATAA